GTATTTTTTCAAAATTTTTCGCCTTTTTTTGTTTTTATAGCGTGAAAAATAAAAAGCACACCGGTGATCAAATTACACCGAAAGAAAGCTCTATTTGTGTGAAAAAAAAGGACGTAAATTTCGTTTGGGTGAAGCATTGCATGACCGCGCAATTATCAGTTGAATTAGTACAGTGCCGAGTAGCAAAAAGAGGCCTGGTCATTAAGGGGGGTAAATCCTCTGGAGCTCAAGTGGTTAAATAAACCAGCTCTTTGTCCTTGTATAACACACAAACCACAAGTTCACTTTAATATCCTCCTAACTAGCAATATATACTTACCTCCCTTTAGTTTCCCCACTGCTCCATTCAGCTGTTGGAAAGAGATCATTGTGTAAGCTGAATCAGATTTCTCTTTGGAACTTTCAAAGGGCTGACTGTCACCCTGTCCCCATGTGACAGCACTGGACCATTCAACAAACACAATCACTGTTATGTAGTGTTACCCCCACAAGAGCCTCTTGGTAATTTAGGTTTTCTGTTCTGTGCCTGGACTCCAAGAACAACCTCAGCCCCTCTGGCACACTTGATTGAATGGAAGGTACTTTAAGCACATCTAAGATCATGAGCATATTGTAGATACTTTTGACTTGACTGTGAATTAGCACCAGGAAATAGAAACAAGACCGTTTAGTGGTAAATTAACTCGGTGTATTGGTACAGGTTAGAATAAATGGTGCTTTGAGCATAAATGAATGTACAGAAGGTAGGTTCAGAGAGCACAGAAAGTTCTAAACAGTATAATCACTATGCCAAGGTAACTTAGAATAGGGTTCTGTATCACTAGGCTGGGATTAACTCATAAATCAGCAGAGACTGCAGTTAATGCTTATTTGCACTGTTTATTGCAATGTGAATAATAATACTATAACTAGTCTAGAGAGCACTCTAGGAGGATGGCTATGATATGGTGCAGTGTCTCCTGAGAGGTACGTAGAATAAGCAATAGGTGAAGGTCTCTGTGTAGCAGCTGTAAAGGGATGTTCTTTAGTACGAACTCTACAGCCCATCAGTGTTGGGACCCAGTTGTATTGTTGGTGCACATGAGATTAGTCCCAGTGAAGCCTGCAGGCAGCAATAAGACTACTAGATGACTGTATGGTCAGTTCCTAAAGGGCTCAGTCTCTCTCTCTTTAGCAGCAAACAGTAAATCCCCACAGCAGCAGCAACTCTTCAGTCCCAGTGATATTGCAGCTCACCATCCAGTCACACACAGCAATTAGTCCACTTTCTGCTCTACACAGTGGTGACTCTGACTGGCACTCCCAGACTGAACTCCCCAGATCCCGCTCAGTGATGGTGCACATTGAACAGCAATGTGCACTCTCTGGGTTCCATCATGGTAAGAAGAAGCTGTATCCTGTACAACCTAAAAAATGCAGCTCTTTTCCTTCCTCCTGGCAAACTCCATCTGGGAAATGCAATTTCAAAGCTCTTGACTACAGTTCAATATTACAGTTCCCACAGAGCAGTGCAGCCTAACTCAGTCTATTCGACGCTTCTTGCACAGCAGCTCCCTTCTTTTGCTGCAGAGGTGTAACAAGGATCATATGTGCTTCAAGGGGCTCATGTGGCACCCCTGTCACATTCTGCTTTACACCTCCATAGGAGGGGCATCAGGGGTAGCATATACTGGAATTGATGCCCTCCATTTTCCTCCTGCTGTCACTGAAAGCCAGCTTCTCCTTCTTTCCCTCCTGTCACCATTCAGCAGCTGCAGGAGGAAAATGGAGGGCATTGGTTCCTCTAAATGCCACCACCTATTAAGGTGCTGCTGCCCCAGATCCCTGTGTACTTTACACCCCCCATACCCCGCAGTGCTGCTGGCTTCCCCCCTCAACCCCCTCCCTCCCTGATGGCTACGTGGGATGCTTTCAGGATGGAGAGCGGAGGAAGGGGCTGGTAAATATGTAAGTTATCATCCCCTTCCTTTTATGAATGGACACAGTGAGCGATCAGTATTGATTACTCTTGCACCCATTAAAAACAGAGGCAAAGTCAACTGTTTCAGTTTGTGAATGAACAGGAAGCTCTGCATAGAGCTATTCCTATCCATTAATTTTGTGCAGCTGAGGTTGCAGAGATGGAGATTGAGGGCTGTGTCCTTAATCTCCTTTCTCTGCCTCAAATGAGAAAATCAGAGGTTTGTTTGGACCCCTGATATCTCACCAAAGCCTCCCAATGGGGCTCCTAAAAAAAATTGTAAATAATAACAGAAAAATAAAATTGTTTAACAAAATAACCAAAATAATATGGTAAATAATAATAATTTTAAAAATACTGTAACAAAAAACTACTGACCCTGTCCACTGCCCTACCTACCCCATTCACTGCCCTGCTGACAAAGTCCACTGCTATACTGATACCATTCACTGCCCTACTGACCATGGCTAACTGCACTACTGACAGTGTCCACTGTCATACTGACATCGTCCACTGCTCTACTGGCTGACACCATTCACAGTCGCACTGACAACAGTGGTGAAAATACCAGGGTCGCAATGGTAGCACTTGCAATTGGGTCGGACGTTCCACCAATGTGAGTGGGTCCCTAGACAGCAGAAAGCGGGCCCAGTGCAGACCAATCAAAAGGGTCCCAGTGCTGGAGCATAATAAAGGGCAATGGCAGTAAAGGCCTCAGGATCAGTGGGAAGGGCCCTGGGCTTGGAGGGAAGGGCCCTGGCCAAGGTTCAGGGGGTCCCTTCATGGTTTCTTGCACCAGGGCCATGAAGTTTCTAGTTACACCTCTGTTTTGCTGATTTCACTGTTAACCAGTTCAGCGCTGCAGGGTGGCTGTTACAAAGAGCAGCTGCAGCCAGTGTTTCTCTCTACATTCATAACCAAGCACCTTGCAACAGTTACATGAGTCAGTCAAATACACTTCCATACCTGGAAATAACTGCATTTTGTTCACTCCAGTGGGCTATGATGCGCAACACATTTCCATTTTCTTTTCATATTGGCAGATTGGCAGAGCAGCAAAGGCAGATGAGTATATGCTGCGTGAAGATTGTTTTTTAAGGCAAACTTTGCTTTATATTATAAAATCAAAGGCTCACTTTATTATGTAGTATAATGTACATAGTCACCTCACAGTACCAAAAATTAAATAGAGAGGTGTAATTGCAGCTCTCAGTTTCTTGTTAACATTTCACTGTAAGATAATAAATTAGGTTTTTCCTGTATAGCTCTTGTAATAAATACACCATGTAGTCTGCTTCACAGCAGCCATTTTTCATACTTCCAGACTCCATAATAATCTCAGGGTAGAGAAGCTGAACCTATAAGTGAAACAGCTGCTCAGAACCAGTATGCAATCAGAGAATGTGAGACTTCTCCAATTAGTATTTTTCTTTTTGCCAGTCTTCCTTTCTGAATAAATGAACTTTAAAAATCAGAGATAGTTCTGTAAGGAAGTGCTACTGGACAACAGGTAAAACGCAGGTGTGAACCAGGTGATTGGCTCTCAAAAAAAGACCACTGAATTGTAATATACACAACTGTGCAAAAGTTTTAGGCAGGCGTTAAAATGCTGTAAGCCCTGGTTCACACTGATGTGGTGCGGAATTCGTAGCGTTTTCTGTGCGAATTCTGAACCGCATCAGAATTGCACCCCGTTCATGCGAACAGCGGCAGGTGTGTATTTTAAGTTGACAACACCCCGAAAGCGGTCCGCAAAACACGGTGCGATGTGCAGAATCGGATCACATAGGTATGAAAACCCATGTGATCAGATTCTAGTGCGGACTAAAAAAAGGGTCCTGCGCGTTTTTGGTGCGGGTTCGGTGCGATTAGAGCCACACAAAATGTATGGCTCCAATCGCACCGCACACAAATCGCATGTGATTTGCACAGGAATGCGGTGCTGTTCCTGTACGAATCACAAGTGATATACCACACTACATAAACTGTATGTGAACCCAGGCTAAATGAAGAATGCTTTCAGAAATAGAAGAGTTAGTAGATTTTTATCACAACAAAATTGTAAACAAAAGTAAATGAACAGCAGAAGAATCCAAATCAAATCAATATTTGGTCTGTCCACCCTTTGCCTTCAAAAGAGCAATAATTCTTCTAGGTGTACACTCGATGGTGTTAAGATCAGGGCTCTGTGGGGGCCAAACTATCACTTTCTGGAATCCTTGTTCTTCTTTACACTGAAGATAGTTCTTAATTACATTGGCTGTGTGTTTGGCGTCGTTGTCCTGTGCAGAATAATTTTGGGACCACTCACACACCTTCCTGATGGTATTGCATGATGGATAAGTATCTGCCTGTATTTCTCAGCATTGCAGACACCACTGATCCTGGCCAAATCTCCAGCTCCATTTGCAGAAATGCAACCCCAAACTTGCAAGGAACCTCCACCATGCTTCACTATTGCCTGCCAACACTTATTATGGTACCGCTCTCCAGTCCTTCGGTGAACAAACTGCCTCCTGCTACAGCTGAATATTTTGACCTATCAATCCAGAGCTTTTGCTGCCCTTTTTCTGCACCCCGTTTATTATATTTTTGTGCATAATTTAGTAGCTTAGCTTTGTTCCCACATGGGAGGTATGGCTTTTTGGACCCAAATCTTCCATGAAGACCACTTCTGGCCAGACTTCTCCCAACAGTAGGTGGGTGTACCACTGGTTTCCACCAGTTTCATACTGGACATCTTCTGATGGCAAAGGGAAGTTAGCATGATATGTCTTTCATCTGCTGCATTAAGTTTACTTTGGCCGATTACTGTGTATATAGATTCAACATTGCCTGTTTCTTTGTGCTTATTCAAAAGAGGTTGAACAGCACATCTTGAAACCCCAGTCTGCTTTGAAATATTTGCCTGGGAGAGATCATACTGATGCAATATAACCACTTTATGTCTTGTTGCTGTGCTCATGCCATGGTTTATGACCTGTGACTGTCTTCCACAACCTCATCTTAGTAGTAGAGTTTAGCTGTTTCTTTCCCAGTTTTAAGCCTCCTACACAACTGTTTCTGTTTCAATTAATCACTGTGTTTTAACCTACTGTGACAGTGTGGCGATCTGTCATGATATGAAAAGGATATTTCACCTGGGATTCTCAACAAGGCAGGTTGAGGGGCTCCAGGGTATTTGTTTGATGCAGAGGAAAGCAGCTTTTCACTTTCCTCATGTCTTTGTAAAGTCCATTTTGGGACCTGGAGCCTGGAGATTTCAAAGTTATTTGGGAGGGATGAATTCTCCAGTCCTCGGCCCAGGTTTTGGGAATGGCCAGGAGACTGATTGGTCAGGTGTGCATGGCTCTCTTCTAGAGTCAGGAACAGGGTTCTGGGCTCCACCCCGCCAGACAGGAGGTCATTGCCCAGGAGTCAGGAGGGCTCCACCTAGGAGAGGTGGAAGCCAGAGCAGCAAGGGGCTGCTAGTTGTGTGCAAAAAGCCATTTTTTGGAAGGAGGCTGTGTGTGTTCAAGTAGTCCAATGCTGTGTGCTGGGACTAGCCAGTGGTCTGGGAGACCCATGTAAATAGAGGTACTGCTAACTAGCAGGGCTGATAAATAGAGCCAGGAGGCTGACTATTTTTTTGTTTGTATTGATGGTGGATACCCCTGTGTGGAAAACATGTTATATGGAACTTTCATTTAAATGAAATTGGGCAAAAACAGCCCTTAAAAAAGAAGCAAGTGAGTGACTGTGTGCTAAAAAAGCTCTACCCTTGGTGCTAGTTCCCACACTACATAGGAAATTGATGACCATTATCACCTTCTTAGAATATTTGGTTAATCATACACCTAATTTTAACCACTTGAGCTCCAGAGGATTTACCCCCCTTAATGACCAGGCCTCTTTTTGCTACTCGGCGCTGCACTAATTCAACTGATAATTGCGCGGTCATGCAATGCTGCACCCAAACGAAATTTACGTCCTTTTTTCACACAAATAGAGCTTTCTTTTGGTGGTATTTGATCATCTGTGCGCTTTTTATTTTTCACGCTATAAACAAAAAAAGGCCAAAAATTTTGAAGAAAAACAATATTTTTTACTTTCAGCTATAAAAAATATATAGTAAACTCAAAGTTGGTTATAAATTTAGGCCAAAATGTATTCTGCTACATGTTTTTGGTAAAAAAAATCCCAATAAGTGTATATTGATTGCTTTGTGTGGAAGTTATAGCGTCTAAAAACTATGGTATAAATACTGCAATTTACGCCATTTTTCTGCTATACAGCGCTACGCTAGTTTAACGGGCAATTGCGCGGTCATGCAATACGGTACATAAATGAAATTTACATATTTTTTCCCTATAAATTGAGCTTTCTTTTGGTTGTATTTGATCGCCTGTGCGGTTTTTATTTTTTGCGCTTTAAAAAAAAAAAGGCTGACAATTTTGAGGGAAAAAAAACAATATTTTGGACTTTTTACTATAAAACATGACCAGTAAAAAAAAAATGCAAAAATCAAATTTAGTCATAAATTTCTGCCAAAATGCATTCTGCGACATGTCTTTGCTATGAAAAAAAAAATGTGTAAATTAATTGGTTTACGTGAAAGTTATGGCGTTTACAAATGGCGGGAAAGATACTGGGATTTTTAGGGGTTTTTTTATACTAATAATGGCGGCGATTAGTGACTTATGGCAGCGACCAGCGACTTATGGCGGGGACTGCGGCGGACATTCTGACATTGGGGGGTACTGACTTGGGGTCACTGACATCCCCAAAAACACTAATACAGTGATCAGTGCAAAAAGAAAAACACTGACACTGTACTAATGGCACTGGGAAGGAAGGGGTTAACTTTATTTTGCAGGGAAGGCTTATCTGAGTGAGGGGAGTGTTTTACTAGGGGGCGGGGGTGTGTACTGCACGGGACACCGCTGATCAAGAGAGAGAAACTCTTCTGTCTCGATCAGCTCGTCCTCGAGCTGACAAGGAAGTGACAGACAGCACAGCTACTGCAGCTGTGCTCTCTGTCACTGTTTACCGCCAATCACCGGGAAACAGCCGCTAAGGACCGGCTGTGACCCGGTGACTGACATCTGCGGCGGTGATCGGCAGGACAGATAGGGTGGCGGCGCCCCTCGCGCACGCCCCCTATCTGTTTACAAAACACACATTTTAAAACGTGGTTTTGCCTGCCAGTGCCGCCCTGCCGCTGTATTTCTACAGTGGCAGGACGGCAAGTGGTTAATCCAACAAATTCTCTGATTCAAAGTTACCCCTAATCTGATACAGAAGTTGGGCTTTAAAGATCAAACTAAAGTTTAGTCAAAACATTTGTTTACATAAGCACAAGAGACAGTTTTTACTATCCATATAAGGTGTCCCTTGTCCTGCTGGCTGTGGATTTAGTTGAAATCTTCAGTCCTCTGAACCTCATACCCACCCTCACAGCGCTAATTTTCTTGTAATATGGGTGGTTAAGAGAGCAGAGGGACCTGTTATATACACTCATCAAAGATAGGATCATGGGATAGCAGTCAGTCTGCCACGTATACCAGGGATTCAGACATTGACCCAGACAAAAAATGGATACAATGGTCCTCCACCATGGGGGTTAGACAATGGGTAAACAACTATGTAGGGAGAGCACGGTGCCTTTGGTTTTAGCACTTCTGCTTTACAGCATTGGGGTCCCTGGTACATAGCCTAGTCATGACACTATCTGCATGGAATTTGCATGTTCTGCCTGTGCATTTGTTTCTGTCAGGTATTTTGGTTTCTCCCCAAATTCCAAAAACATGCTGGTAGGTCATTAGCGCCTGTCCAAATTAGCACTAGTATATGTATACAGTTATGTAAACATGTGAGATAGTGACCTTAGATTATGAGCTCCCTGAGGACAGGGAATGAAGTGACTGTACAGTATGTAAAGCACTCCGTACATTTTCAGAGCTATATAAATACCTGAAATAAAATAAATACTTCCTGTAAAAAGAGTAATTGCTGTAAAACCAGAAGAAAGTAACTGGGTAGATGAACTGTCTTGGCTAAGGAGCAAGACTAAGGTCAAAGATATGAGCACAAAAACCCAGGATGGACTGAGTTCACAGATATCTGGTGTTCTTGTTAAGGTAAAGAACAAAAAATAAAATAGATGCTCAAACTCAATCTCTAAAACCTCATATAATTATTATTATTATTATACAGTATTTATATAGCGCCAAAAGGTTTGTTCAGCGCTGTACATTATAGTGGGGGACAGTACATGAGACAATACAGTAACAAAACAAAACACGAGGGGGTTAGAGGGCCCTGCTCTTTCGAGCTTACAATCTAGGACGGAGGGGAAAGTGGTACAGGAGGAAGTGGCTGTGGGGGATGGAGTGGTAGGACAATTTAACAATTTCAAAGGTAGCTTTAAATCTATATAAAGTTACAGCTTTCAATAACGTATGTGGTTATTCTGCCAATAAGAACCTCAGTCAGGTACTTCCTGTTAAAGGGAGACAACACCCTGTCTCTCAGTTGCTGTCTTGGGTTGTCACCCTTCTACATGCACTTCCTGTGGCAACTACAAGGGACCTTGCTAACACTCATTCTGTAGTCGTGTCCATATGCCATTGTCACCATTAGATAGCTAGATAAAAGGAAAAAACAATGCATTGGTTAGCAAAACATATTGCTTTAGTGAATCAAATGTCACCCAGTTAGGGTTTACATATACTATAAGAAATTACAAAATACAAATGATAGCTATTCAAGAAATAGGATTCTGATGACAACATTTTCTTTAAAGGACATGGAAATAATCGATCTGCTGTGCTAAAGACAACTGAAGAAGCTGTAATTTGTTTAATGTGCTTAAACCCCTACAGAGGTTTAGGAAGACATAAAAGATATATTTTATGAACCGCTGCATATGCTGTTTAATCACTGAATTATTCAAACTAATGTTAAAATGTGGTTAGGTCATATGAAGGCATGATTGTGGAAAAGAATATGGATCAACCATAGGACCTCATAGTTTACATGAAGAGCAACAGTGATGGAACAAGATTAGATTATTTTTTTACAAAGTAAATGTATGACAGAAAAGCAGTACATATTATGAACGTAAAAGTATACATATAACAATTTGGGTGCTGCCTAATGGTAGAACCCAAAACCAAATAGTTCACTGACTAAAGACAGCATAGAACAGATAGGATTATTGTCCAAAATATGAGAGGGGCAGACTGTGTTGCATTTATTTTATGGTAACTATTACATATATAGACAAAAAGTATGTATAATGAAAAGGAAATTAGACAAAGTAAAGAGAATTTATCATAAGATGACTACAGATGAAAGTATAAAGCAGACAAATCAAGAAAACACAATTACATACAGTATATGCGGGCAGAAAATGTCAATGCAAAACAGTATTAAGAGAATCTGCAGAGATTTTTTAGTTATAGAACTGTACAAAGGAAATAATAATAATGCTTTAATGAGGTGTTTTAAAAAGGCAATAGCTGAACGAGCAACCACAGGTCTGAATTGCTGAAAAAAAACAAGAGAAAGTTTTAATGATCTGACTTAAAAGAGGAATGGTAAATATAATATGCATAAGGGAAAAAAAGAAAAGAAAATGGTGTAAAAAGTAGAAAAGCTGTCTGGAAAGAAATATGTGTTTAAAAATGCTAGTGTAGAAAAGAAAGATTTCCAACTCTGAATATGTGGGGAGATAGAAGTAGAAACTTAATGGAACAAAGAGAAAATATTCGCATTTTTGGTTGAATACTCTGAAGAACTGTTATACAAAGAAATGTACAACGTATGATCAAAAAATGGCAATTAAGTAGTCCCAATAAAAGAAAAGTACAGGAAACATAGGGTATACTCAGAATTGATAAAACACAGGGAGGTAGACTATTTTTTTCTTCCATACTGAGAAACACAGATAAGGAAGAAGGAAAATAAATCAGAAGAGTTGAATCATTTGTCCTGTCTTGAAGAATGAAGATAAAATAATATAAAGGGGATATTACATCCCTACTGTAAGGTTTAACCACTTGCCCTCCAGAGGATTTAGCCCCTTCCTGACAAGGCCTTTTTTTACAATACGGTGCTGTGTTACTTTAACTAACAATTGCAGTCTCATGCAATGCTGTACATAAATGAAATTTACTTCATTTTTTCCAAAAAGAGAGATTTCTTTTGGTGGTATTTGATTACTTCTGCATTTTTTCTTTTTTGTGCTATAAACAAAAAAAGACCGACAATTTTAAAAAAAAAAAACAATATTTTTTACATTTTCTATAAAACATATCCAGTAAAAAACCTAAAAAAATTGAATTTTGTCATAAATTTAAGCAAAAAT